GCTGAAACACACACCAGCTGCCAGAAACAGCAGCCAGCAACACCACATTTTACCTACTGTTTCAGGGCCTGGCTTCCCTAAGTCACACTGCAGTTTTGCTCATGTGAGAGGTGAGGCAGGAGGCTGATTGCAGCCTTCTCATCTGCTGCAGCCTGTGGCAGTAGGAATAGTGTGGGACAGCAAGGAGGCATGATTTGGGTTGGATGTTTTAGTGGGGGAGGCAGAGAATATTTACAATTATCTTTTAGCTGGAAAAAAAGAGTTCAGTAGTGAGAGGAACAAATACAGTATATCAATACTAGAAATAAAAAGCATAGACAAGGATTATAAAAACCAGACTAAATGCCTGACCTCATTGAGGCCAATGGCCAAACTTCCATTCATGTCCACAGGGGGCAAGGTTTCACTGAGTCATTGGAGCAGATGGCTTCATTTCATAACAACTGTATGTGTGGGACTCGGTTTTCTTTTGTGACTATTTTTGTGCAGCCAGCCTTTTCCCCACTGGTCTATTGTAGTGCTTCTCATGTGTTTTCAATCAGAATAGGAGCTCCTTGGGACCTGTCTGAGGAGGCCGAAGACTGACCCACATATTTTTACATGCTTTTAGTGTGCCACATTTGGAGCCCTACTGTTGTAAGATGATTTTACAAAGGTCATTATTTCTTGTGTCTACCGTTTTTATTAGGCAGTCTATATTTTACACCAAATGTACTGGTGAAGATGAGGAAACCACAGAGGTTTGAATCATGGGAACCACCAGCATTGTGGATACTTATTCAGATATGCTTGAATTTCTGTGTTGTAGAATTAAGCTGTAAATCACAAGCAATATTTATGCTTCTGTTACTTTGATTTCAGTCATAACCATAAATCTTACTTGTACTTTTTTTTGGCAGCTTTTTAGTGCTTTTGCATCTAGGCTTTGATGTTCATCCTTAGCTTTTCTGGAACATTGGCCACTTTGGTCTGAATTTTATTTAGAGGCTCAGAACAACTGCACCCAGTTCAGCAGTAAATGCAAGCTATGAATATAATTTGCAGCGTAAACAGGGTGGTGAGAAGCCACTGTTGGTCGGGTCAACTCTTTCAGAGCACAGCAGGGGCATAGCAGGGCTGCCTCCTTTCTGACCTTTCATAATTGTTCTTCACTGTAGTTAGAATTTGTATCTTTATAACATCTAATGTAAACATATAGCTTTCAAAGTGTTTTATTAAATATATAGATGTAGGCTTTACTGAAAATAAGCTTAACAATTAGAGGACAGCAGTTGAAAAGAAACTTGCACACAGTACACTGCAACACAATGGTAAAGAAGTTTTGGAGGAAGTCACAAGAACAATTACACTCTTCCAGAAAGCTCAAAAATATTTAAACATCTGTAAAAGTAGACATTGCCTCATGAGACTACCTTAAAAAGTCCACATACATGTGCCAGTGTCCTTGTACATGCACACTCCTGTACGCAAGCTCTGAATTGGTATCTGGATTCTCCATAGACACTCTTCTATTGCAGATTTACTGACAAAGATGTTTTTTTCTTTCTTTTTTTTTCAGAGAGATTGGTTCAATTGTCAGGTCCTTGGGTTGCTTCCCAACTGAAGCAGAACTACATGAACTACTTGCAAAGGTAAATGTTCAGATATTTTGTATTTTTTTCAGTCTTAAACTTGTACAAGTTTGGTGCTTCTGCCTTGCTGTGTGGGAAACCTAAACTCTTTTCCCAAAGGGTGGAAGCGTCATGGAAGTAATTTGGGCAGGCAGACAGTCTCCCAGGTTACCAAAAAGCAAGCCTTTAGGCTGATGAGGTAACAACAGTGGTGGGTTAAAATGAGGAGTCTTTGACTGTTACTCTGGAAGGTCATGATGACACTGTGCCAAGGTGGAGCAGCGTTTATGGAAAATGGAGGAAAAAGTAGTTTTGGCTGATGAAAAAGAGTGTCAGTCTAAACCTCAGTCAGATTAGGATATCCAAACCCTAACCATCTCACTCTTCTGGACATGTCATGGACACACACTAATCATTAAGTAACAAAAATGAGTTACTGAGCAGGTGTTACCATTATACATTAAATTCTAAAAATACAGAGGAAAGACCTGCTGTGTATTTTCTCTCCATCCTGTTACTGCTATCTTACAGCTAGACCTTTCAACTTTCTGTTCTTCCTGAGTTCTCTCCCAGTCTTGAGATTTCTCAGTTATAGATAAGTAATGTTTTTTTTACTTGATTACTTAAGCCTGTAAGTCACAATTTAGACACAGAAACTCGCAAGACCTAGCAGTCTCTCAGTGATATTCAGGGGTAAGGAACTTCAGTAATGTTTATCCAGTTTTTTTCCTACACTAATTTTTGTCTCCTTACCTCATGCTTTCAATAGAAAGGACTGTGCTGGTGCATTGGTAGAGTGTGGTTAATAAATGGGACAGAGAGGTGGGAAAAAGATTTCACGTTATTTTTGCAGATGGATATGGTGCATTAAGGAATGGAAGATGCTGGGGCTGAGAGGTGGGGGAAGGATTTTTCTCTCTTTCATATATAGCTCAGGATACTGATCTCACTCACTCCTTTCTTCCTGTCCCAAACAAAAATATGGGTGGTTGCAGCAATAGACTCTCCTCAGTAGCCTTGTCTGGTCTCTTGTAGATCAGAATTTATTGTAAGAAATCTTGTTCTAAGTCTTGAAGATGACGCAGCTGCTTCAGATGAAGAAGTGGAAAGAACCATCAGAGGAGAAAGATCTTTTAACATGGTACTGCAATCTGTCTGCACTGGTTCTGTACTCTCAATACCAGATTGTACCAGCTCCCACTGGCAAACAAGACAAAATGGAAAGAGAAGTTATGTTGCTTGATATAGATGGTGTTTTTAGTGGCTCACAGAGATTTTTGTTTGCAGCAAATGAACAGTGCAACTGACTGAAAATACAGAAATTGCAAAAAGGAAGGGGATAAGCTGACCCCTTCCCCCAAGTCCAGGGGAGCCAGGAAGTTTAAGGCCTGCCTCCCCCTCCCAAAGAGATGCTTGATATAGATGGTGTTTTTAGTGGCTCACAGAGATTTTTGTTTGCAGCAAATGAACAGTGCAACTGACTGAAAATACAGAAATTGCAAAAAGGAAGGGGATAAGCTGACCCCTTCCCCCAAGTCCAGGGGAGCCAGGAAGTTTAAGGCCTGCCTCCCCCTCCCAAAGAGATTGGACTTTTTTTTTTTTTTTTTCAGCATTACTGAAAATTTGAGATAACTAAAACTTAATAAAGCATAATGCAATGCAGCTATGAGGCAGAAGATTCTTGAGATACAGCAGTATAACAAAAATGGAATTGCTGATTGTAAGAATATTAACCTGAAGCACAAATACTGCAAGAAGAAATAATACATTCAAGAGTAATGGTTCACCTTAAAGAACACTGAACTGGAAGTTAAATCTCAAATGATGTTTCACACTGTCTGGAAATGAAATCTTGGCATGGGTTTAGTACCAGAAGAATATTATCTTCTTGCAGAACCCTTAATGTATTATGTTAATCACTAATACATCTTAATTTTTGTAAGATACCATTGCCATTGCCTGTGATAATACCATTTTATCTTAATCTAGATAAAATAAGAACTGTCCCTGTTGACTGGTTTGTAACCAAGCTATTTCCCCAGTATTTTTTCCATTATAAGCTGTGAGTCATTTATGTTTCTCACTACTTATGTCATTCAGTCATCTGTCTTCCTATTAGCCTTATTGTAGCTAAAGCAGCATATGTTGTCATCAAATTGTTCCTATCTGCATTAATATAATTATTTTATCTCTAAAAATTATAATATGTGGTTTCCCATATTGCCTTATGCTAAATGCTGTACTTAATATAATATCTTTAGGCCTGCTTACAAAATGAAGATTAAATTATAATGCTAGAGATGGTGAGATCTGACCTGAGAGTTACTACAATTCCTGAAGTTTTAAATCCCAGATTCAGTTCATTGCTCTTCTACAGGTTGCCTGTAATAACTCTGGAAGATGTTTCTGTTTCTTAGTGACTCAAGTCCCCAAATGTTATATGGACAATAATAGTATGGCTGTGAGAGCAGAAATACAAAACATAGGTGCTACAGTACGTTTATTAAGGGAGCTGTGGTTGTACCCAAAGGAAAAAGAACAAAACTCAGAGTTTTAACAAGCAAATATTGTTATTGTCACGGACACTGTCAAAAGGGGAGGAATTACAGGAAAAGGGAAACATTGATGGGAAATTAAGTATAGAATAGGAATGAGCATGAGGAAGAGTAAAAGTAAGAGGATACATATACCTGCAAATCTGAATACTTACTGACTTAGGCAAGGTTAATATATTCAATTACTCACATATCTGTCTGATGGTAGAAAGAATAGGATTAATTTTAACAGTTCAAGATATTACTGGGCCTGTAGAGAGACTGAAGTGGAAGCTGTTCTTTCCAGGTCAGATGAAGCTAAGGTAGCTCGTCACCTCCCAGGACTAGATCCATTGTGAGGAAAGCCATGTTTCTTCCACAGGCTGCTTTCTGCAGACAAAATACAAATAGAACACAAACAAAAAGAGGCAAATCTGTATGATATTTGTCAGTGAGGGTTGACATTTTCACAAGTATTTGTGACATTGAGCTCTGAAGTGGACAGTATTGGTGAGTTCTGGTATGAAAATTAGCATGACCTTCAACAGTTTGGATGAGCAGATCTAATTTTCTTTTTTTCTTTGAAACATGGTTTAAATAACTTATCATCATCATGGATGTTTTGTATCGTTGCTTTTGGTTGTTCAGATTAATATGAGATATATATATCTATTTCTGATAAATAGATACCATATTTATTTTTCTGTCTCTGTGGACTTCTGACGGGATACTAATAGAAGCACAGATGTTCCCTAAAACATCCTGTGTACTTATACATCTCAATATTTGTGATACATGTTCAGTGTATTGGGTAACTCTTATGTCACTGAAAATAAGTTTTGCCAGATATTTTGTTACAACTTTTCAGTCAAGCAAGCAGTAAAACAAATGATTCTGTAATGGTAAAAGGTATAATTTTGATTTTTAAATGAAGCATGCAACAGCTTTATTTCCTTGCTAAAGATTCCTTCCACTAGCCTCACCAAACAGACAGGTAAAAGTGCTTTTTTCAAACCAATTTCCACTCTAAAGCAGCAAGAGGTGGTGGCTGCCTGCTTTTAGCACCAAACCCCTTCAAGAGCACTGGAAAAGAGCATGCAGCAGCAGTTGTAGCTCTCCATTTAAGCAACTGGCATCACCCCAGCTCTGACCAAACTCCCAAGAGAAAGATTTCTTACTTCATCTTTTCCTGGCTCAGGAGATTTCAAATCAGTGCCTATTTGAGTCTTCTTTCTATTTGAGCTGTGTCTGAGAGCCTGGCAAGGTGTCACTGCTCCCGTGTGAGACCACAAGGCAGGCAGTTAGTTTCAACACAGACAGAAGCAAGAGAGCTCCAGTACAAGGGCTCCTTTTGGGCATAATTTTGACATTTTCAGAGAAGGAATGCACCCCAGTGATATGGAGTGGGTTTTACCATGTTGCTCATCTCCTGTGAAGGTACAGGAATACAGCAAGAAGGCTGCTATAAGTCCCTGATGTTTTGGGACTAATCTTTTCATTTATTTGGGATGGAAAGGGAAGCTTTTTTTTTATGTAGCATTTTATGGACTGCCTTATGACTCTTTCAGACTGCCCTGACTCATTTTGCCTGTCTCACTGGTCCTTCCCCAGATGACTCTCTCTGGCTATGAAACCTCTGGCAGCAACAAATTCCATCCTTGAGGTGTACTAGACTGGGGCTATGTCCAAACTAGCACACTAAATGTGCCCAGAAACATCTTTGGGTGTTGAAGCCAGCTGGCACAGAGCAGCTCATGTCTACCGTGGTAAATGCTTTAAGTGAGGTGGTTGCACAAAGCACCCTGTTGGAGAACAGTTCCTAAGGTTCTTGCCAGGCCTGGTGACTGCTGGGGAGAGCTTTAGGTGGCACAGACCAAAATCATGCCAGGAAACATGCTAATGGCTTGCTGTTATGTGTGGCCACATTAACCTGCCCGGAGGATATTCCAGCTCCTGCTAGACTTTACTAGTATGAATGCAGTCTGGATGTTTAAACCTTTGCTGATTTACTGTGTAAGATGAGACGAATTACTAGGCATCCAGTTCCTTTGCATGAATGGTTTCTAAGCACAAGAGGGCAATATTGAGTTGTTGAAAAGTGTCTGCATATCAGGCCTACATTTTGCCTAGGATGTTATTTCTTCCTCTAATTTCTTTCTATTTGATTACAAGCATTTCACTCAGCTGTTATGATGCCATGTGGTATTAAAAACCTGATATAAATATTCAAAGTATCTGTAATTTTAATGCAGGAACCACCCCAATTTTCTGGGTTTTTTTTTGTATTAGTTTGGTAATGAGGCATATAACCTGCCATACTGACTTTTTATTTTTAGGTAGAAGAAGAACCACCGACTGGTTACATTCATCTGGAAAAATTTCTTCCAGTCATGACAAAAGTACTACTTGACAGAAGGTAATGGAAAGTGGATTTTCTGTGTCTGAAGTTTATTATAGATTGACAGAGTTGATTCTAAGTAAATATTATCAACTGCAATTTTACAGGAGATACAGAATGAGTACAGATTTACTGGAAGGAGTACAGATTTTTTTTTGTTATTTAAACTCAGTTTAAGTTACCATGATAGCTTTTGTTTCAAAGTTACTTTGTCAACATGAAATTATGCTGTATGGACAATTTGAATAATAGCAGCTTATAATAATGAATTGTGATCTTGTGTAGAATTTTTATTTTTAATGTGGATCAGAATTAACTTGCTATTCAGCATGTTTTGTGCATCTCTGAAATTTTTTATATGCAAGTTAAGGTCATAATCATTACTTCCTCTGAACATAGGAATTACAGTTACTGAACAGCACAGTCTGTTACAGTATGTTTTCAATGAGTTGTATAAATCAGCTTCGTATTCATGTCTCTAAATGACTGTCAACTACAGTTGAATGTACATGACTAGGACTCTAAAAGACTGCTGATCTAAAAGTCTAAAAAACACTGTTTGTTATTCAAAATACTGCTTTCTTTTTTCCTTTCTGTCTCTGTTTCCCTCTCTGTCCTATCTGCTCTAGGGACTTTGTTGTGTTACTCCAGTAGTCTGTTGTTTACATGACATCTGACCTCATTTGTGTCTTACTTTCACCATTTGGGATTATCTTTAAACCCTGCTGATCTAAAAGTCTAAAAAACACTGTTTGTTATTCAAAATACATAGAAAGCTTTGCATATACACAGTATTTTGATATTTTGCACTAAAAGCAAGGTTAATTATAGGAAATTTATCTTTCTTTTTAAAGATGGAAGCCAAGGGTTTTGGGAGACTTGGTCTTGTCCAATATCGAGAAGTTTATACACAGGGGGTCTTTGATAGGAGGGAGTTCTACACGTGAAATGGCTACAGGGTTTCCCAAAACTCTCTGGCAGCACCCACAGCCAGCAGATTCCATCTTAGGGCTGTATTTGAGAATCTTTGAGCCTGGACACTGACCAGCCAGCAGTGTTTGATTCCTGGTGTGCCAGCACAGTTGCATTGCTTTCCCATGCTCCTGCACCTTTTGTCTTCTCTGGCCTTCATGGCACTTTTCTGGCTCCACACCAATGTTCACCCTTTCACAAAGTGGTATCTTGCTGCTCTGGGCTCTTCTCCTCCTCCACACAAACATACATATACACAAAAAGAACCCAAACCACATGCTTTCGCCAGGCTAGTGCAGGCTTGTCAAGACCCACTCTGTCTTTTAGGGCTCTGTGTCCATAGTTCACTTATCAAAGGGCACATGAGATTTGAATCACAAAAAACAAGGGCCCTTCTTAGCAAATCTGATTTTTAGATAGTAAAAGAGTGAGGTGGGTCTGGATGAAACAATCAAGCAGTTAAAACCTCCCTGGCTTCAATGTCTTCTTTTTAGTATTCCTGGGGGTTGGTGAGAGTCTGGTGGGATGTGGAAGGTCTCCTTTGCTCCACAGGGTTCCCTTTTCAGCCCTGAAATCAGGCACACATATGCACGCATACATGCCCAGTTCTCCTGTCTTGCTGAAACTGATAGTGCCAGACCCTTTCTTTTATAGCTACCAGCTTCCTTTCCTCATTATCAGTTCATCAGACCATCAAAGATCCACTAGGTGATCCGTTGCCTAGCTACCAGAGTACCTGGACAAAACTTTGCTTTCTTGATTTGGCCATCTTCTGCTCAGCACATTGGCTATGTGAAATGATTCAGTTATTATTGATGCCTACTAATCTGTTCAGCCAGCCCAGACATGCAGAAGCCATTCATCTGGCTCTTTAGCACAAGGAAAATTAAACAGGAGTACAATAAAATACATAAGAGGTAAAGACATGGACAGTTCCAAAAAATCAAGCTGGAATTAAATGTTTGATAGACAAACTTAGTATATTCTCATAGAAAATAAGTTTTCCCCTTCCTTTAGCACTCATTGTTTATTCTTTCAGAATATTTTAGTGGTCTGACAGTGACTTAACTTTTCTGATTCAATGGTTTCAGCTACCAGCCTATTCCAGAAGATGTTCTTCTACATGCATTTGAGGTCTGTAACTAAATATTCAAGTACCTAATTGCTGCAAAGAAGTTGCTGATTCTTGATTCAGTACAGTTAAAATCACAACTTTTATTCTTTTTCTTTAAAGACTTTGGATGAGAATAAATGTGGATATATTACTAAAGAGGACCTGGTCAGATATTTGACCAAAGAAGGTAAGATGACTTTTGTACTATCAGTATTTAAGTAAACAAACATTACATGTGTGTATAGCACTTTGAGGTCCTTGTTCAGCATGCCAAAACTTGCAGGAATAGATACATTGTCTTCAGACAATACTGTTTCCATGATGAGTGGCTGCAGACTAGAACATTTGACTGGTAAATAATGCATGGAAAGAACATTCATCTGCCTTGTTGCAGACATTATAAGGTAGAGATTACAATCTTGTGTGGATATTTTATGATTCTGTGCACGTCTCTGTGCTTTCTAAGGATATAACTCTTTTTTCTGTAAAACTGTAGTTTAGATTTCCAGATGTTTCAGGTAGTTTCAGTATCCATTCATTCCTACATTATCTTGATCTTAATTCTAGTGCTGCATGCAAACAAGGAGATTCAAAGACCAGATTTAGGTTGTGTATCATGTAATCCTCAATATCTCTGGAAGAGCCTGCTTTTCTTGTGTGGCTGACTCATGCCTGCCTGCCTCCAGTGCAAAACGATGTGCAGGCATTGCACAAGACCTATCAGATGGGGACCTTGTTCTCAACAAGGGATGCAGTAAGGCCATCAGCAGCTTTGAAGTTCCTAAAAAACAGGAGCCTTTCGTGATGTAAATACAAGTGAAAGTATAGCCAAAGGAGAGCAAATAATTCTAATGTATACATTAGAAAAATTCATTCTGACAAAAATGGTTATTCTGAAATCACTCTGGCAGAGGAGAACAGGCTTTTTTCGCATCCATGAGCTAGAAGGAGATGAGAAGTTCAGAAGATCCATGTCCTCTGTCTACTTTCCCTTAGACCAGCTCACTTGGTGTGCTGTGAAAGTGAAGGAATCTAATCCTTAGCATTACTCCTTTTCTCTACTGTGTAGGGACCAAAAGAAAATCCTTGAAAAGTAGAAGTGGTGTAGTTTTCCTGAGAAGAATACTTACCAAAACAAAGTGTTCATCTCTGTTTATCTTTTAGGTGAGCCCTTTACTCAGGAAGAAATGGAAGACATGCTCTCCACTGCTCTAGATCCAGAAACAAATACTGTTCGCTACAGAGACTACATTTCAAAGATGATAGTGGATGAAAGTTAACATCTTCCCCTTTAGTGTTTGAGATGCCTTTTGGTAACAGCAGTGTAGGTTGGCAGTTAGTTGAAATATGTATTTTAAAGTATAACAAGCTCAGCTTGTGAACTTGTGCTTACAATTAAAATAAAATCTGTGTAGCTTTATTTCCTTGAATTCTGTATGTGTATCGAAATATATTCTCACCTGGAAAAAGAGCTCTTGGCAGAAGTCCTGTGTAAGGTCTGGAAAAGAAATCATGGAATTTGGTTTGAAAAATAACAGGAAAAATAATATTAATGAAGTCAAGAAATTACTTTGCAATTGCTTCTGAAAAACTAATGGAAAAATGAGACCTGTGAAAGTGGGTAGTAAGTAGGTAACTGAGTACCTTATGATGACTAAAACTGTGAGTGCATACTACTACTAAGATAAAGCTTTTGTATTTTAATGTAATCCCTGTGTTTAATAAGGCACCAGGTAAGTTACTACTTCTGAAATAGTATCATAGATCCAACAAACTTGCTGCTAGTTTTTGTCAAATATTTGTGCTTTATTTACTACAGGCAGTTAAACTGGATCAGTTAGTTCCATTTTATGTTACTCATCCATCAGCACATGGTATTTTGCTTCCATTTTTAATGTGCACTCACTCAAACAATTAAGTGTAAATTTGCCACTGTAAAATTTACAAAGCAATACTTAACAACATTTCTGTTACCACAGGCAATAAACTGTTCCCCTTTCATAACCAGTTTGCAAGTCAGGAGCTAAAATTGTTGAAAACAGGATAATGGGACTGGAATTTGATTTTCATAAACTGATAAAGCACTATTTTTTGAAAAATACTAGCTTAGAATATGTGTCTCAACTACCTCTGCTAGAAGACCTCATTGCTCTTCTCACTTTTAGCTTAATAATTTTCATGATGTTTTTGTACTGTTGCCCTTTAACTTGAGTTCAAGCTCATTCCCCTCGAGTTCTTGCCTTGTACATCATGTCATCATGTTCTAACAAGTGACCAGCAGTTGCCTTCAGCTGTGGAGGTCTCAGCTTGAAAGAAAAGATTCTGTGCTCTGGTTCCCAAGGGCACCATCTTGCACTATGTGCTCCCCACCTTTGCCCCAATTTCTAGTTTTCTACTCTATCAAGTTTGCTTTCCTCCTATGCAGTGTCCTACCACTCCTGTCTTAACTGCATATCCCAGCTGTGTGTCATCAACAGGCTTCATCAGTTGATGAAATCTGGGGAAGACCGACTTACCGAGACACTGAATGCCTTACACCCTGTCATGCCCTTCTAGTAGCAGAACTGAAAACAGAGCACGGGGCTCCTCATGTCAGGTCTTTTGCTCTATCAATTTGTTTCACTTGAGCTGGAATCTCAGAGGAGCTGTTTTCATACCCAGCTGCAAGGGACCTGCTGTGCTTCACAAAGAAGAGATGAGCATGATCTAAATGTGGTGATGGAAGCAATCTGAAAGCAATATGTTTTAAATTACCTTTTTATTTCTTTCACCCAGGTTGTTTTTCACTGGTATTTTCTTAAACAGTAAGGCAGTGAAGAGTTAATGCAGGTAAACAACATTTGCCTAGTTCTAAGCTGCATTTTCATCTGGAAACCACTGTTGTGCTCGTCCTAAGACTGCAATACACTCTTGTTAACACATTTACTCTCTATTTCATTTCTCTGCCAGTAAGAATAAAAGGCAAAAGTAATCATTAGTGTTATAATGTGTGAAGATACAAGTTTCTGATGATTAAAATAGGAGCAACAAAGGCCCATTAAGAAAATATATTTTTATTAGTCTTCTTTAGTCTCTCTTAGGAAGCTGAAATTATTTTCCCTAGATGAATCCTTCTTCTGTTTGTTATAGTGTGTGTTGTACTGGATCTCTACACAGCTGGCAGGAACACAAGTTTCATTTATATTCTGCAGTCTGGGAGCCACTGTCAGCCTCATCTTGGATATCAGCA